GGGGGGGGGGGGTCGTCTTTCTCGGGTTGAAGGATTCCTCCAGAGGTAGAATTGGTGTCTGCTGGCTCGTCTCAGCTTTGCCTCTGTGGAAGGGCTTGTGTGTGTTATGCTATTGTTTTGTTTTCTGTGGTTGTGTTTTATGTGGTTGTGTTATTTAGGTTCCTCTGTTCTTGTGTTTTTGGTTTGGGCCGTTGGCCTCAGTAACTGAGCGGGAGCACCTTTATTATCCTGTTGGGATCAGCTCATGTCTCTATTCTCCTGTTGGGAGCCTTGTAGTTTTTCTTTGTGTTATTGTGTTGGTTGTCTATTGAGTTTTGATTTATGTTTCTAGCGTTGCTAGAGTCGGGATTCTAGGCGGTCGTCACACATGTCCTCCCATTTTATTCAGCCTCTGGCTGCTTCTCTTCTCCCGTTGGGAACTTTGTATTTTTATTCGCACATTTGTGCGTTTTGGTTTATAATAGATCCTCTATTGTTCCGGCAAAAAAAAAAAAAAAAAGACTACACGTAGTTGTGAAAAAAAATAGTAACTTGAACTCCTAATAAAATGTATATGATTCTACTTCTATTTTTTTTATAAAAAAAATCATATCATTTAAGTTGTAAAACACAAAAGCAAGAAGAATATCAAAAAATATAATATAGTAAAACTTTTGGAAATATGATTCTTTTGTAAAGTTTCACTTCTATTATTATATATTAATATTACAAATATTATGAATCTATACTTATATAATAAGGTATCCTATTTATCAATTTTAGTAGGTTGAAAAGTCAACGTAATTAATGCATTGCTATTTCTATCCATAATTTTTTTAATTATTTTATTTATTTGTCTTATATCCCATAAAATCAGTTTAAGAAAATAAATCCCATAACATCTGATAAGTAAAAAAAAAAAGACGTAAAATATTTACTAAAATAAAAAAGGCTTTATTATTTTTCTTATTCCATATTAACATCGATTTTGTCAAAACAAATCCCATAAAATCGGTGAAGTCAAAACTTGTACGTAAAGTCTATCTATACTAAAAAGAAGGCAGATTTGAAATTCCTTATCTAATTCCTTCTTATTATCTAATTGTATGGAAATCTTTCTGATTTTGTTTAATCCTCTAATTGTATTTGTATTATATCCCATAAAATCGTTTTAACAAAAAAAACCCCATAACATCCGATGAGTAAAAAAAAAAAGTACGTAAAATCTTTACTAAGATAAAAAAGGTTTTATTTATTATTTAATTTATTATCTAATTGTATAGAAATCTGTTCTGATTTTGTTCAAACCGATTTCTGTATATTCAGATTTAGATTTTCTAATAAAAATATTAACAGCAATATATATCTACTCTACCATTATAAATTACAAATCTCACAATAATTATTTAAATTATTTGAATTTTTGTTTTAATTTCAAAATTTGAAACTTATATTTTAATTTTTTTTCGTGTATGTATTTAGATATTTTTGTACATTTTTAGTGAAATATATTTTTGATTTTTTTAATTATATTTCAGATTTGCAATTTGGTTTATTTATTCTACATATCGTGTATGTATTTAGATATTTACATTATTTAATAATATATGTCATTTTGAGTAGTTGCACAGTAATTAAGAATCTTTATTTTGCCAATATAACCTTATTTAATGAAGATAGAAATGAATGTTTTGGGAGAAAGATGAAAAGTGAATATGAAAATATGTAGTGTATTTATTAGCATAATAAGGGTAATAATGGAAACATATGTACAAAAGAACTAAAAAGTCATTTATTTTGGTTCATAGTTGATAACCCAAAATGACATTTAAAAAGAAAAAGAAACGGATGGAGTATTATTTATTTTTGATAACTTGTGCATGTGCACATGATTAATACTAGTTGACATAAAAGCAAAGGATAAGTCACATTTAAAGTTGTAGTTAGATTCTTAATTCGGTACACCGGTTCAGTATGTTATGAAACGACTCAGTTCGGACCTCACTATTTATGAAATCTTCAGAACAACTGTTCATGTGTGATTTTACACCATATTTATAGAGTATTTAGAGCTTCGTCATTGCATTATTGGTGTATAAATTGCATATTTATGCTTTAATTCTCTATTTGTTGGAAAGGTATTACACGTGCTTGTTTTGTAGATATTTTTCACATATTTGTAGAGCTTTTGGCTATTGGAGGCGCATGGTGAGTACCTAGGAGCCCCGGGATGATTGATGCACGGACGAGAAAAATGGAAGAAACGAGCAAAACGGACAAGAACGTGCATGCTGGGGTGTGACGCGGGCAGTGACACGGGCATCATGCCCGTGTCAGAGGCCATGTCACCTCAACAGAAAGAATTCGAAGCTTAGGGACCTGACACGACCCGTGACACGGGCGTGTCTGGTCGTGTCGCACACGCGGACAGTTTTTAATCCATTACCTTTTTGGATAAGGAGAATAGTTTTGGACATTATAAAAGGCATATTAAACGTGGAGTACACAAGGAGAAGGGCTTGGAACACAGAAGAGAAACAATTGGGAAGAAGAGAAGATCAACCACAAGATTTCTAATTTTTCTTTCTCTCTTTTGAACTTATTTTCTCATGATAATTTCTAATATGTCTATGTATTTGAATTCAAACATGAGTAGCTAAATTTCTTTGATTCTAAGACATGGTAGTAGATTAATAGTTTGGGATTTTTGGATGATCTATCATAGTTGATTGTTTTCTTTTGAACCCTATTCAAATATTTTGTTCTTATTTCATGAATTGCAATTGGCCACTGCTTTTACATGTTTGATGATATTGTTCATAATTCGA